TCATAAATAAACACGTAAATTCCGATTTGTGAGAAAAATATAGATTAAAACATATTAAATACACTCTGCAGCATGCTAGAACTGTAAATGCCATAGAAATTATGATTGAAGATAAACGTATGCGAAACTAGAAGTCCTCACTGCCGACTCCATTACTTCGCTCCAAGTACTCAATCCATCTTTAACTATGTGTGGTCTTTCACAACGTCAATGCCATGAAATTCGAGACGACGGCTAAAAACATGCACAGCAAAATATATAAAAGAAGCTAAAACATCAAAATCGAATACACAAATCAAAAGAGACTTTATTCTTAGGGGCGAAAAAAGTGCGCAAACCTTGCTCATTTTCTAGGCTCTAAGTTCATCATGGCGGCTTGTTGCCTGTATTGCAACGCCGAGCGGTGAAAAGTTCCAATTGAATCACGCGCGTCTGAGGCACGTTCTCACGCCATTAAGTCGTCCAGAAGTTACAATAATGAATTCCGCAAACTTTTTACATAGTTTTGGTGAAGAAGATATCACAATGATGTAAAAAAGAGACCAACACGTGTATCTGGGTGTTTTCAAAGCTGAAAACAACAACTTTCTTCCATTTAAGAGTTCCACATGGTTTCGTGACAATATAAATCACTCTCAGAAATGAACTAATATACAGTTGCGATATCCAGAAATCCAATTCAAACGGTTTAACATCTCGAAATCTTCTCTAAACAACCCTGATCCAGAGAAATATGACAACAGTTATCTAGTGATCAACAACAAAAATGGCCGCCATGTCCAATCTATTGCTTATGAGAAAATGCATCATGGGATTGATCATCAGTGCCTAAACCCTAAATGTATGGTAGTATGCTAGTGCCATAAATTAGAAGCTGACTCCATATTTTCTTTCTTTAAAATAAATATTCTGAACCAGAATCTTATTTATCCACATGCGTAAATCCAATTATGAACGCAACTGATCAAAATAAAAATAATTAATATAAACCGACCATTTCATTTTCCATTGGGGGAAGGTGTCCAATCTTTCTCTGCTTGAGAGAAAAAAAAAACATTACCTCTATTATACCAGCTGATAAAAGCATCTTCAGGTAAAAAATCATTAAAAAAACAAACACAATATACATATTGACTCGAAGAGCCGGTCCCTCATATTTGTGTATATTAATGATAAATGGGTATGTAGCCTTTTAAAATCATTTTAAATGGGACTCCGAAAAGATGCCAACACCAGCAACCGCACAATTGCAATTCTCGCCAGGATTTTTATTTATTTATTTTTTACTTATTTATTTACATACATATCCATAACACGAAGGGAAAACTTATCCTTTTGTTGGAGGATGAAATCAATGTGACTTGCAAGAAAAGGCACCATGAATTTTGGAGGGCGTGGGCCTAGAAGTACACATTAATTGCTAAGAAAAATGAGTCGGAGACTCAACAACTTACCTAACCATTGAAAAAATGAGTTATACCAAATTTCAAATTTCCTTTAGTATATTGATGATAACCAGAAAGAATTAAACTAATGTTATAATCCATATGTGCTCTCTTACTGTTTCAACAGCAGGACTTGGAGCGATAATTTATTTTCTTTTTTGTTTGTGCCTTTTCATAACAATCTTTAAAGAAATGTAAGTTTATATATGGAAATTACATTTTACTAAGAGAGAATTAAGAAAGAAGGCATTTAAATAATATTTCCATTAAGATCATTTATGCGTTTATTTACATTTATAAAAGGTATCTTCACGTAATTTTACCAACGGTTCCGTAGTGTAGTGGTTATCACGCTCGCCTCACACGCGAGAGGTCCTGGGATCGACCCCCAGCGGAACCATTAATATTTTTTTTTCTTTTTTTCCTATTAACAATCTTCGTTTATACATATTTTTTTAAAATACTTATTCCCTCCACACATTCATTCGGTTTAAAGTACCTCAGTATTATGTAATCGAACCGAAAGCAGAAATTTATATCCAGTCACATGGATCTATCTGTATATGATCCTCAAAACGATATAATTTGCTGATCGAATTGTATTCGCTTTCTGAATAATGCCGATAGCTTAAAAAAGGAGTGTGTTTCAAGACCAGGCTTAAATCCCCAATACACCCTAACGTTACAGAGCGAACACCTTTCTTAAGTGCGAGGACACAATCACAGATCACGTTACTGGCTGATTAGATCAGGCTAATCCCAGGGGTGGGGGTACCGCTATAAGATCATTGTATTGATATTTGATGAGTAGAGATCCCTTTTTTAAATATTTAAATCGTTCAAAGTTCAAAATGTTCTTGTGACCCCTCAGGTAGCGTCCGTTACGCGTCCATTGGCCGCGGCACCAAACACACGAATCATGTTTCAAGAGCACAGTTTCATACTATTTTGGTCATAGCGTTTAGTCAGTGTCAAACACCTGTCCTTTAATGACCGTTCGAAAAAAAACCTCCTATTTCTAAAATTGTAGACACTTACCCCACCCCTCACCAAAATGTCGTCTTTCCTCCGATGAGATCACACCGCATAAATAATTGTTTTCACGATCTATTGGACAGGAGCCAGTCAATGAAATGTAGCAGGGTGAAGATGTTTTGTGTTAGGTTCTGGATCGAACATGTAGCCAGTGGGTGTTACATAGCAGGAGGCAGCTGTGTTTTGAACTCTTTGAAGTTTTTGTAGTAGATACTACAGTAACCACTTTTGATTAAGATCTAAACACACCAAATATATAATGCAGCACCCTTTTTTTAAAAAAAATGATTATCAAAATACACAAAAAAATAAAATGTAGCACCCGCTTTTTGATTCCTTGACAAATACACCAAATATAAAATGCAGCACGCAGTTTGATTACTACCCAAAAAAGCCACATAGTGTATACAGTGTATTCCATGCAGCATCTGCTTGTCATTACTATCATACCCATACAATCCAACGAAAACGTTTGAAAGTTTATATACACACATTTTCACGCAAATATACTTTCAATCACAAGGTAGGAGTGCTTATGGACACATTAATATACCTTTGCTTGCAAACATAGCCATACAGAAGAGAGAAAGGGTAAATGGGGTATGGTTAATTTTTAGTTGTCAACAATATAGACGCAAGAAATCACGCACAACAAAACCACAAAAGTGGTTGATACCTTTAATCTCTTTTTTCTAGTGATTTAAATGATCCTGAAAATACATTTTTGTTTTTGTTGTTGTTGTTGTTGTTGTTGTTATTGTTGTTTGGGTTTTTTTTAACCAACCACAGGTTTAACATAAGTTCATCTCTTCACTGGTTTTCTTCTTCTCATACTTCGTTTCACATCGTGTCAGCATGGAACAATCTGCTTCAGACACCAGTGTCTCATCTTCATTTCCATGTAAGAGTGTCGGTGATCCTGGTAATATCCCACGATACATTTACATACACAGTGTAGTTCGGGTTGAGGAGCATGCCCAAAACGATCGTTGTTGACACCATTAGTTACTAGGAAATAAGAACTCATAAACACAAGGGTTATGTCCCTTACAGTAAGAAATGACGACGGTGTTACAAAATAGACGGTGTATCTTGGCTAACGCTACCAAATATCAACATAGCAAAACAAGAGAAAACACAGGAAAGCAAAAATACAATACTAACAGCTGCAAGTTAAATTTCGTAACTAGCTACACAACATGCAAACACTCCATACAAAATGTCATTCCCTTTTTATCAATTTTTCCAGACTAAAACTTACCCATAAGTTTTAATATAATACTTCGAATGACGTCACACAATCTATTCTTCTGTATTGAAACTTCAATTTCCAATTTTTTTTTTATTTCTTTTACAACATTACCATACCAACAATGATTGATCAGAGGTGGGGTGGGATACATGCATATATAAAAATCGTTTTAACATAAAAGATGGTCGCCTCAAACATACTAATTTGTTATGGCTAGAGGTCACCAGTGGTGTCAACAAATATATGAAACAGTGTCTTTCAATTGTTTTGCCTTCTTGCATTTCTTGACGGGTTTGGGGTTTTCATTTGTTTCTCTTTCTGAATGCTCCATCTGTTTGGTTTCTTGTTATAGGGACACTTCTGAGACCGCTGACCTTTTTCCTGACAATAAACACATGAATATATACCTTTGTCTCCTTTTTCTCCTGTCTTTCCTATGCTTTGACGTTGTGGGTATTCCAAAGCCCAATGGCATTTCTCTTAACAGAATAGCAAGTATTTTGACTTTTTATCTCGAGTCTTGTCTGAAGCATACTGTTGGATGACTCTGTTAATTTTTGACGTGAAGATGCATCTGGTTTTACTCTGCCATCTTCTTCAAATCACATTTTGAAATCAAGATACAACGATCTAGAAATACGAGCAAGAAACAGGTTAACAACATAAAAATTGTCATCGGTGGTATCTGAATTTTATATCAGGGTTGAATACTTTGAAATTGTTCAAATGGTCAGATATTGATCATCTACCCACAAGTCAGAAGAATTTCCATGCCACGACTTCTACTGGCAATGTTTCAATACTGCAGAAAAAAAATCTTATTCCAGACGATGAAGACTTTGATTACAAAAATCGTTTGCAATAAATATCACCTCAGGACTGGACTTTACGGAGTGTAGTGGCTTTGAAGAACTCGAAATCAATTTTAGGTTGTTAAACTATTGCTAGACACATTCCTGGGAAAGCCTATCACAGACAGAAAAAGCAAGGTGGATAAAAAGTCTATCATGCCACAAAAGTCTGTGGAAGACACACGGTACTAAATGTATGGAAAATTTGGAACCAACCTGGAAATGGGTGAACATAAGATACAGCATATAGGGGTTTGGCTGGCCATGATTGTTTGATAATGAAAGTTATTTTGTAGGATAAAAAAATCTTTTGAGTGCTTATCCTAGTTATAACTGAGAAAAATAGAGACATTGTATGGCTGGAATTTCAGTCCTTTATTTGTTTTGAGCTTGGAACACTCATTACTGAAATCAGTAGACCGTTCCGGTGGCCTAGTGGTCAGAGCGTCCGCCTCAGATGTGGGAGGTCATGGGTTCGAACACCGTCTGAGTCCTACCAAAGACTTACACAAATGGTACTAACAGCTGCCACGCTTGGCGCTCAGCATTAAGAGATTTATGTTAGGACTGGTCGGTCTGGTGCCATGATAATGTGACTTTTTGGGACATCATGCTACTTGCCTGCGGCATGATGGCCCAGTGCTAGACATCACTATAAATTGCCACACTACAGACTTCGAAGCGACATGACTGAAAATTTGTTAAAGCTATGTTAAAAATCCAACACACACAGACACACTTACAGACTGAAATTATAACCTGATTCTTTTGTGCGGAATTAAAAGCACATCTTTCAAAACATACAGGTCCAGAAAATGCCGTGCACATTTTATAAGAACTGTTTCCATCTTCAAATCCACTGAATTTAATATGCCCTGTTGTGTGTGTGTGTGTGTGTGTGTGTGTGTGTGTGTGTGTGTGTGTGTGATTGTGACTGCTTTTTCCAATTTAGTTTCCCAGCAAAATCGTTGCGGATTATCTATCAACAGTACACGCAACAAAGACATAACCGCAAAATATTATTTCACCAACTGTTAAAAGTGATGAGAAGGGGGATGAAGACAAGATTTGTATCTCTTTGTGACAAAGGCATTTGTCGAACACTATCAACCCTTCATGCACGCGAATGAAAGCCTTAGCATGGATGAGTGAAGTGGCTGACTGTACCAAAGACTTCGTCTGTCACAATTCCAAGAAAAGAAGTTCAGCTAGAACCAGTGCAAGAAGTAAACATGAAATTAAAGAGAATGTTACGAACAGTAGAAGAAGAACCTCCCATAGAGGAAGAAACACTAAGTCCACCGTTCTATCATTGTACAAATAGAAAAGAATAGGAAACAATGAAACTCACGGAGAAATTTGACACTCTAAATTTTGTGCCTCATTGATGTGCAGAGCCATGTATGCCGCGTGTGCTGTCTTGTTTTAATTCCTGAATGTAACCAGTTTGAAAAAATATTAAACGTATATCAAATGCATAAAATGTGTTGAGGGTAATCTTTGAATTCTCAAAAAGTCGAGTGGCCTTGTATGCTCCGCATCTCTTAAACATGCCTATTGCTGGATCCAGTGGTTCAGATAAAACCGAATTTGTCAAACGTGCAAGTATTACGACAATGTTTTTAAAATTAATTTTCATGTAATTATTATTGTTACCACTCAAACGTTTATCATTTGAACGGAACTTTTAGGAATTTTCATTAAATGGAATTTGCTTGTTATGGAGATATCAAGATATCAATTCTAAAAGAAAGTATTTATCAAGATATCAATTCTAAAAGAAAGAAACGAAAATATTAATTTGTGTACAACATATTGAAATCTCTAGTTATTGGAAGATAAAAACATCAAAATTTAAGATAGTGCTTTGTTATTGATTGGAGTGTAGGAGAAGCGTGCTCCAATCAATAATTCATATCCTGAATATAATAAGGACATTGAAATGAATTTAGATTAAGCATTTATTATTGTTCAGCTTTCACTTGGTAATGGAGAAAGCCTAATTAATAAGCCAGTTCAATAGTTCAATCGGATAGAAGCCAAATAATGTTTTATCGCACCATTCAATCAATAAAACCTTATTAGATTTCGTTGTGATGTTGGGAACAAAGTAATTGATAATCACCCTAGGGAATAATTAAATTAATTAAGTTCACAATGTGAATGACCACTGGAAGGTTATGGACATGATCCAAAAGGTCGTTACTTGGAAAAATACCGTCCACACTCACACTCTACCCCCCCTAAAACTTGATATAAAGTTAAAGCTGTCCTTGGAAAGCACGCAAGATGCACGCGTGATTTTTAGACAAACATCTTTTGAGACTGGATGTAGCACTTGTGATCAGGCAGCTTCCAGAATATAAAAAAGGCTTTGAGCTGCTTTATTCTCAAGTGCGGTTCCATGCTCAAAAGAGTATCATGTCTATTTCTTACAGCGATCCCACCTCTTCGCAGCCAAGCATTCCCCACAAAAGATGTAATCTACACCATCATATGTGACACCTTATTCTTATGAATGCTGAACTTCCTGCCTTCTCGTATTAGACACGAGAAGAAGGTTATGATAGAAACGTCTAAAAACAACATCAGACAATTCTTATCATAATAGAGACAATGAGAAACGATTTGGAAACGATTGGGTTCCAGTCTCCTTATAAACCTGAATCAATTTTGTATTCTTTTTATTTCATAATATGAAGAAAGATATTGTATAATGTATTGTTTAAAATTTATTAAGAATTTGTATGGATATGTGATGGTAGTAGTAACTTTTTTTAAAAAAATGCACAGTAATAATTGATTTAGAAATGTTTAAAATGACAGAACATAATATTTTGAAAGCTTAGATCAAACACGAAGCAAAATACGTATCTACAATTGTGATTGTTGTATTAGTCTAAAATGTTGAATTTGTAAGAATTTTGACTGTCGTTAATTTGGTCTATATTTAATAATATTAACATTATCTTGTAAAATAGAGAAATTCCAAAACTGTATCAGATTCGTTAGCTTGAAGAAATATAATTATTTTATATGTAATTTTCTTATACCTAAAATGTAACAATTCATGTATATGCATTCCACTATCTAGAATGAGATTTTTTCTATCAAATATTCAATGATTTCCAATAATGTAGCTTCGTCAGACTTCATAAGAAAGAGTTCGCATTTCGTTACATTTCGAAACCGTACCTGTCCGCACCCAGCGATGTAAAATAGCACCGTCCACGTCAGAAGTGACACCTCTGTAAAGGAGGCTTGAACTCAGTTAATTTTCTATCCATCTAAAAGAGTCCACCAAAACTTTACCTTAAATGGTCATCCCATAATAATGTAGTGAAACTACCAGTGAAATTCCCTTCATAACAAGCAGTGGGGAAAATCTTTTCATAAAACAAGCATTATCCAAACCACTTTGTTGATTTATGCATATTATCATGCGACTCCAACTCCGCAAGCATATTCGCACATCGGTTAAAAACAACTATCACTCCCGATTATATTATTAGTGTCATGAAGGAGATCCTGTCTTTTATACATTCTCTTTTGGAATCCGTTTTAAAACATCATGCACTTATTTCTTTTCAAACAATATTCATCATGACTCTTTTCAATTTTATCCTTCTGCCAAATTTATTTATGCACTATATGAAATCCTTTCACGAAAATAATACGCAAGTCCATGCATATTTGTTAGAATCCAGTCTCAAAGAAGTATTGCTATGGTTAACTAGACGATAGACTGTAAAAACAATACAGCATTTATGGACCGATGATTTAGAAAACAATGGAAACGGTTGGTAACAATGGAAACAATGGAAAATGTTGGTAACAATGGAAACAATAGAAACGGTTGGTAGAAGAACGGGAAAGTTAGGTCCAGGAAGAAATATAGGAAAATGTAAAGTCGAATAAGGCAACTGTCAAGATTCTAATTTGGTCGGTCAAGCTGTGCTGAAGACAGCAAAGGTCTCCATTGGATATTCTCCTCATGATACATTTGTATAATTTCCTCAATTTCATCTACCAAATCGGTAATTCTCTGCATAACATGAAAAAGAAATATCGCGTCCAAAATCTTTACATAGTTTTGTAAGCCAAACGAGCTCTCCTTTATTTCATGTATCTTTCTTGCATATTTAAATTATTGCCTTAGGACAAGATAGTGTGATGGATCTTTACTACTTCAATGGTCCCTCAAATAAAATCAGCATTTGTTTATATGCAGACGTTATCTTTATTAACTCTTACATGATTTTTAGAGTACAATTTAAAAATTGTGGCTAGCAAAATAATTTTAATATATTTGTTTGTCCTCTACTAAACGTATTTGATTAAAATATTATCTTTTTGCAAATACACACAGTTGTGTATTTCTTGCCTCTGAAAGATAATCTATTAATGTTTGATAGAATTCATTTCGTTGTAAGGACTGAGCAGATGACTTAACTGATAAGAGTTATTTCTCTGAATAACAAGCTACAAGTAGTCATGGAAAGGTACACGATTTCTGATCATTTAAATGACTCGATACATTTTATTAACAATATAAAACTATGAATTGTGTAATAGAAAAAACGTATTTAAATTTCTTTAATACGAATTTGTTTATGCATGAATTCAGAATGCATCGTTTATGGATACTGTATTTAGTTACATGCATTGTTGAGATATATCTATTTTGAGATAACATTAAATGAACAAAATATGACATAACAGTACATTGATTTCTCAAGTCAGCAGTTGTACATTATTGGTGTGATTTAAAGCATAGAGCAGTCTCAGAAGTGTCCCTATAAAACGGTTGTGCATTTCTTGCATCTGAAAGATTATCTACTAATATAGATAGAACTCATTTTGTTACAAGAATAAGTAGAAGGCTTAATTTATAGGAATTATTTTATATGAATTTATATGAATAGTGGTCAGTAATTTTAAAAAGGTTACACAAATTCTGATCATTCGAATGACTCAATAGTGTTTGACACATACACTGTTGAAAGTTATATAAGGGGAAAGCATTCAATTAATCAAATAGTCGTATCAACGGTGTATTAATTTCTAAAGTTTGTAGTTACACAGTACTGATTCTATTTGCAGTGTACAGAAAGAATATAAAAAGTAAATCTTCACTCAAAGTGGTGAGGACAATGATATGGATGAACGTGCAGATCTTCAGCGTGAAAATGATATATGTGCTGAAATACAACACTTAGGCAAGTACATGTATTGCAATTGATTTTAAGATATCTTAGATGAGACTTTTATTTGCAGTTGAGAACATGGACATTATGATACACTATTGTTCATGTTCAATACATTTCTGGACAAAGAATGATGGGTGACAAAATAGTTCTCTGGACAAATGATGAAAATGCTGCAATACAGCTTCAGCTTGAAGCATTTTTCAGACTTCTTAGAGTCCCAGAGGAAAAAAAACTGCCTAAAGGTTTTGGGGATAGACTAAGTCATTTGAAATAGAAACAGGGCA